CCCAGTGGCAGATATTCTAATACGACTTTTGCAGATGACTGCAGAATTTAACTTCGTGAACATGCCTTGTTAACTTTATTTAAGATGGATGCAAAAGGAACTTTAGGTGGCTTATTCAGCCTAATTCTTCAAGGAGAGGACATTCTTAGAGTATGAGCAATCATAATCTTTTCCACAAAATTTAAGACTTTACCAGATGGAGTCTTAACAAAGGAAGTAAAGGAACTTATACTAACTGAACCCAAAAAGGTCCTAGAAGATGCGACTCATGAAGAATTTGCCCTTTTCATGAAGATACTATCTGGGTTAAAAAGCTAATAAACAGTGAAAGGAATACAGCAATTTGTAGAGTTGGTAGCTGAACAGACTGACCTAGAACAGACCTTCAACCCAGCAGATCCTGACTGTATGGATCAGCTCTTACAGTGTGTTTGGCAGGCGGCACCCCTCTTCTCTAAAAATGTGCATTCTACAAGGTTTGTGCCTTCTGTGAGCAGGTTCACCCTGACCTCAGGTCCTTGACTACCCCAGTGGAAAGTCTCGATATACAGTTGGGAGTCATTGACACTGTTGATGGAGACGATTTCATTTTGTGGTGACATGGAAAGGTTAGAAACAAATCTAAGGAAACTGATAAATTATTGGAATATATGCCTCCCTCCAGAAGAAGCAGAAAACGCCGAGAATCCTGGCAATGAAGAACCCAAGCCGCAATTCAGTTATGCAGAATATTTGTTGGACAGCTTCCACAAGATGGGCTGGAAAATTCCAGATTTATTTTTTTAATATGTTTTTACTGATTTTTTTAGAGAGGAAGGGAGAGGGAGATAGAAACAACAGTGATGAGAGAGAATCATGGATTGGCTGCCTCCTGCACGGCTCCTTACTGGGGATTAAGTCTGCAACCCCGGCATGTGCCCTGATCAGAAATCGAATGGTGACCTCCTGATTCATCAGTCGGAGCTCAACCATTGAGCCACGCTGGCTGGGCAGCTGATCTAGAATTGACAAAAACAAGTCAAAACATTCAGATAACCATCTTTGAGAAAGGCAGAGAGGGGAAAGTACTCAAGAGTCAAGGATTTTATTTAGTCCAAAGAGGTATATGAAAAACTTACTTCATAGTATCACAATAAAAAAAGGAATTATTGCTTCTGTTTCTAACTCAATGGAATCATTAGATTATGCCCCCAGGCCTTGCCTTCATCCATTAACTTCACCCTATGGGGTTGGGTTTAAGCCAGTTTTACTTCATTCTGGAAATTTCAAATGAAAAAAATTACTATGACATTTAAAATGTAGGGCATTGCTCCTCCTCAAAATGATGAGAAGGAAAGGTGTAATTGGTTGTTGCTTGTTAACTATCCATAGCTATCTCAGCAAACAAAGCATGGATATCAGAAGTGTTATTCCCCTTTTCCCCTAGCCCAGTGGTCGACAAACTGTGGCTCGAGAGCCACATGCGGCTCTTTGGCCCCTTGAATGTGGCTCTTCCACAAAATATGACGTGCAGGCGTGCACGTACAGTGAGATTGAAACTTTGTGGCCCATGCGCAGAAGTCGGTATTTTGTGGAAGAGCCACACTCAAGGGACCAACGAGCCGCATGTGGCTCGCGAGCCGCAGTTTGCCGACCACTGCCCTAGCCTATTGGCGTTTATTCACTTTGTCTTTCCTAAGCAAGGTTACTACAAACTAGATTCCAGTTTTTGCTCTATTGGTCTTCAATATGAAAAAAAAAATCATTTCATTTTTATCTCAGTAGACATTCCCAGAAGCTGTTTTAGCAAGGTGAATGTTTTTACATGATAGCATGCTGCTCAGGGAATGAATTGAGCAAAGAAAAATGTTTCGGTTTGGTTTTGCAGACTCAAAGAAGAAAGCCTGGATTCATTCTTGAACCTCTCCAGGCCTTGTCATGGCTGTTTTCCCAGAGCTGGTTCTCCAGTGGGACCACACTTACTAATGGTAAGAAACAGACTGAACTCACTTCTGTCATTGCCTGCCTCTCAGAATCAATCTTTGCAAGTCTTGCAGCGCGGAGTCTGGGTTTTTCTTGCAAGAATTAAATAAAACTGTAGACAAACAAACAAACACATAAAAATCATTGATTTCAATTCTTCCTTCAGAGCTATGTCATATAGGGCTTCTGACACCCTAAGGCAGTGATGGCGAACCTATGACACGTGTGTCAGAGGTGACACCCAAACACATTTTTTTGTTTGATTTTTCTTTGTTAAATGGCATTTAAATATATAAAGTAAATATCAAAAATATAAATCCTTGTTTTACTATGGTTGCAAATATCAAAAAATTTCTATATGTGACACGGCACCAGAGTTAAGTTAGGGTTTTTCAAAATGCTGACACGCCGAGCTCAAAAGGTTCGCCATCACTGCCCTAAGGGCCTGCCCAGCTGCAGACCATCATCAACTAAATACTGGACAGTTCTTAGCAGAGCTCCTCATTCTCCAAACATAATGGGTCTTCTTCCTGAAACTGGACTGGGATAATGAAGAACTATTTCCGGGTGTTTGTTAAGAGAGCTGCAGTATCTTGGTAATGCATTTGATTGCAATGTTTTTTTCTCCAGTGGCCTTCCAGAGGTTGAGGGGTCCTGCAGTGGTTCAGGATAGGACGTGGGGAGAAGAGCCCTGGTGTTGATGGAGAGTGGTTTCCTTGAGCTGCGGTTTGTTGACAAATTTGGGAGGGTAATGGAGATCTTTCCAAACCTAGCAGCCCTTTCTATAGAACTATCTTGTGCAAATAAGATAGCTGCTGCTGTCCAGTAGATGGCGCCTCTAACTCTCATATTGCCTTAGTTTATAAATTGCTTTTTCCATTACTAATTCAAGTATTCCCCTCACACTCCCCGGGGCTTTTTAAATAATCTGGTATGTTGTTGATTCTTTTGATTCTCTTAGAAAAAGGTAAAATGGTTCTCATAGATGAAGAGACCATAAATGCAAAAAAAAAAAAAAAAAAGGACTGTTGGAGCAAGTCTTACTGCAATTCATATGAAAGACACCACAAATGAACTAAGCATAAAAACAGGTACAGAAATGAGGTATAGAAAAGCGAGTTTTCACTCAAATTTTCTCTCTCTCTCTCTCTCTCTTTCTCTCTCTCCTTTCTTCTCTCTCTCTCTCTCTCTCTCTCTCTCTCCCTCCTTTCTTTTTTACCTCTAGATACTTCCAGTGCTTTGTCTTTTTAGAACTTCCACAGCTGAAGATTTTCATTTGAGGAGAGAATCCACTTACTTTTTATTTGTAGAGACTCGGCACATTGATCGGCCTATCAGTTTTCTATAGGAAGTTATCACTGCAAGAAGCAGGCAAAACTCAGAAAAATGATGCCGTTTTTAGAGGCTGCAGCACTAATGATCAATTTAAATACTGTCTGGCAAGTGCTGGGGAAAACCCAGGGACTACTGAAGCATCTAGAAGGGGACCAAAGGTCCTGAAGCAAGAGAGAACACATGGGCTAGTTGAAAGGAAATCTGAGGAAGCTTTAGATTGCAGGACTAGGGGAGGCTTGATGATGAAGGAGCAGGAGCCAGCCAGGCAGGGGTAGATGGGAAAGAGGTATTGGTGAGTGGGTGCCTGCTCCTGAGAGAAGTAAGGACAGCATCTGCAAATGTCAGAGAGAGAGAGAGAGAGAGAGAGAGAGAGAGAGAGAGAGAGAGAGAGAGAGAGAGAGAGAGGA